AGCAGTAATGCAGATGTCAGTGTAGCTCTTTTAAGCTTCAATTAAGTATTTTTAGTATATGAGATATTATGGTTGAATTGGTATGAAAGTGGATTTTTTTTTCTTCTTTTAAGTAGGAATGTAAATTGTAAGGGGACTCTACTTGCACATCTTGCCATAAAGGTGATTTCTGTAGCCATTAGCGTAGCAAAGTAACTGAGTATTCTCTTAAGCAGTTTCCTGGGTAGAACTCGCTAACCGCAGTGATTTTTGAGTGCCTCTCACTATCCATCAGCTCTTACAGGGCCATCTCTGCTACAGTGTGTGTGCTTGGTGGGTGATGGTCCGTCACCCTTGATGATGATTTGGAACTAGACATTTCACACTATTGCAAGGTGGTTATGCACTGGCTACCGTCATGCTCATGCCTCACCTCTCCCCACTCTCTCGTGTTCTCAGTCTACTTTGCTGATTTATGTTGTAAGGGGCAATTTGGCACTGGTTTGGACAGCACTAAACGTCATTAGGCCTTGATCACTATTTTGTTTATAGAACTAACTATAACCCAGCTGGCTAACAGAGGCCACTCATCCAGAGGAGGTCCTGCTGACTGGTAACGCTTAAGAAGGAAGAGTTTTCTACTGCTGAAGCAACTAAGAATACTAGCGCTTCAGGAAGGCTTTCCTTAACCAAACTGGGGATCCCAAAGGCTTGTGATTACTTCAAAACATGTTATTCTACTTAAAGTAGAGCAAGGATTTTGTAATTCCAAAGCAACAAAACAGAATATCTGGGTAAAGCACACATTTAATTTGTGTTTACTCATGGTATCTCATGTGATTGGACTCTTATTTAAATCTTATGCTCTGTCATGAAAATACTAGGAGTTTCAAGTTAGGTATAACTGTGGTATGCTGTCATGAAGCCTATGCACGATTACTAAAAGTCTTTGAGTTTCACTCTTCAGAAACTTTATTATAAAGATGGGAGAACTTTTCAGTTTCAAGCAAGCAGATGTTAATGTGCTAGGACCAGAATGTGGCCCCTTTCCATAGAGATTGAAGGAACATTGCAGAAAAGAATTCTCTGTGATGAAAATAAGTTCTTACAAAACTGACCTCTGAGATTAAGAGCTAGATATATTTCTAACATTTTTATTATTTAATTTTAAGGAATTTCTTCATAAATTATTAGAACTACTTTTGGGAGGTGAATTTGGGATCTTTTAATTTTTAAAGCTTTTAAACTTTCATTAGCACTAAAAGCTAGTCATGCTCAAATTGTAATGAGGTTTAAGCTTTTTTTTTCTTTTGGATGTTGTGCTTAAAATTGAAGGGGAAATTTGGCAAAGATTTTTTATTCCAGGTATGCTTTGCCTTTGTCTATGCAACTTTCGTGTATTTTAAATAGGGAAGTAAGAGCCTGAAAAGAATTTGCTGACTGATTACCATACACGTTTGAGTTCTGGCTTTTGTAAAACTCACTCATTTTAATGCTTTTCTTATAGATAAGTCTGCCATTTAGTACAGCATTTGGTGCTGATACAGAGGGTTCCCAATGGATTGTGGGTTACCTTTTAGAAAAAGTGATCAGTAACCTGGCAGTGTGGAGTTCAGAGCAGGACCTTGCAAATGATACTGTACAACTGCTAGTAACATTAGTGGAAAGGAGAGAGCGGTAAGTTGCTGTACCTCTGGAAGTCAAAACATTTCTTTTGCTTCCTTTAAATTTTTTTGGCCAAAGTAATCCAGATCTGGGGCATTTCATATTCGTGTCTGTAAGTCAAAAGACTTTAGTAACCTGCCATAAATGGGAAAAAAATGGTGTGGCAAAGCGAGGAGTGAGACCTAAGATTTGACAAAACGTAACCTAATTTGTTACTGTTGAGAAGTGCACTCTCCTTCCCCTGCCTTTGTGCCTCACTAGAAAGACAAACTCTCCTGGTCTCCACTCTTATTGCGAGGGCTTTGGGGGTGTTGCTGATTTGTGCTGAACAAGAGGCTTAAGACTGAAAGGTCAAATATCAGCATAAGCCAGTGTAAAATTGTAAAATTATCTAGAATTTGGCAGATAAATTGGAAAGTTTTCTTTGGTATTAGAAATCGTGAAGCAAGCAATTCTTGAATGTTTTTCTTGTGAATTGACATGCAATTAAATGTGTGAACATGAATTCACAATTCTTTTGAAAGACTGTTCTGAAGTTTGAGGAATTAAATGTTTGAGATTTTCTTAGGGGGGAAAAAAAAGATTTTTAAACCCCACAGGAGCTATTTCAGGAATAAACTGCTTCCTTTATCATGACATAATGAGACTAAGCTTTTAATCCATGTAATATGTCTATTAATTGTATGCATGTGTGTAAAACTAGAGTACTTCCCTTTTCTCCCAAATGAATTGAGCCATTTTATTGAGTACATGTGTTAGAAATCTTAGATGGGAGATCAAATGAAAGTCAAAAAATTATTTAATCTTAGAATAAAAGAATTAAAATAAAATAAAAAGACAACTGCTGATGTCTGTCTTAGAATAAAAGAATTAAAATAAAAAGACAACTGCTGATGTCTGTTCATTCAATTTTGTGAAGCCTTTTCTTTAATTAAAGGGGTTTTTTTTCCTCCCTTTTAGGGCAAACTTAGTTATTCAGTGTGAAAACTGGTGGAATTTAGCTAAACAATTTGCAAGGCGAAGTCCTCCTCTTCACTATTTGTCCAGCTCTGTTCAAAGAACACTAATGAAAGCTTTAGTTTTAGGAGGCTTTGCTCATATGGACACAGAAACAAAACAACAGTACTGGACAGAGGTAAGCTATTTGATGCTTCTGTTACTTTTACTTGAGCAAGTAATACAATTCTGGAAGTAAGGTGAGTTTTAAGTCAGTTTAGGACTTTTTTTTTGCAATGATGAAGTCAGCTGTTGCAGAATCTTTTGAACATCTGATACTGACTTCTTTTATGGTTCTCTGGAGGTCAGTAGTTATATATTTGGGGGCCAGCGAGCTGCCCAAAATATTTTCTTTTTTTTTTTCCTTTTTAAGTTTTGGTGATGTTATTAAATTTTTCAGACTTAAGGGTTTAAAAACATACACAAACATATGCTCCCCACCACCACAACACATGAAAAATAATGAAGCCCCCTTATCAGCATTTTCACACCTTAATGCCTTTAAAGCTCTGGTATCTATTACCAGGAAGGCAGAAATGTGGTCAGGAAGCATCATGTAAATTTATAAAGCATTCTGAGAGAAACTTAATCAGTTTTATTAGTGAAATGAGTAATCAAGGGTAAGATCACAAGCACTGGAAGTAATTGGGAGAAGCATTTGACTTTTATGGGAACTTCTAAATAGTTCAGTTTACAAACATAATCATATGGGCTGGTAAATAGGTGAAAAGTTAAAAGAGAGATTGTACTATACAGAATCATACTATGACAAAGATTATTGTGAACATCTTAGGACTTTTATTGATGCCCCAGGACAACTTCTTGTTTGCTGGCACTGAATTTGGAACAGAATCAAATAATGTTGAGTCAGGGAATGTATTTTCATGTGTGTATACATTACAAAATAACCTATGTAGGTGCTGCTTTTGAAACCAACCTGCAGGTGATAATGCTCAGTGAGAATCATTAATCACTAGTGTTTCAGTTGACACTGATGTGACACATAATAACCTAACTGAGCCACTGCAATCTGGAAGTGATTGGTTCTTGTAGTTTTGTGCCAAAGTAGTTTGCTGAATTACTTAAAGCTGCACTCTGATTCATATAATACGGTGCTTATCTCAGTGTGACTTGTCTTTTTGAGGTTCTTCAGCCACTTCAGCAGCGGTTCTTGAATGTGATAAACCAAGAAAACTTTCAGCAGATCTGTCAAGAGGAGGAAGTGAAGCAGGAAATCACAGCTACATTGGAAGCACTCTGTGGCATTGCTGAGGCTACCCAGATTGATAATGTAGCAATTCTCTTTAATTTCCTAATGGACTTCCTTAATAATTGCATTGGCTTAATGGAAGTATACAAAAACACCCCAGAGACTGTTAATCTCATAATAGAAGTCTTTGTTGAAGTTGCACATAAGCAAATTTGCTATCTTGGAGAGGTAAATACAACCAAAAGGAGGAGGAGGGGAAGGCGGGGTATGTGTGTGCGTGTAAACAAACTGTAGTGATGTTTTAGATTCTGCAGGGTGAAAACTGCTTACAGGAACACCTGTTGGTCCTAAATACGGTACAAATGATACCAAGAAATTGTCAGGAAATTGAGTTGGTGCAGGGCACTTTGGTCTTTGGTTGGCTAATTTTGCTTTTGTGTCTAGAAACGTTTCTGCCTACTCCAAACTACGCATGGACTAACAGTGAATTATGGCTGCAAAATTTGGTAGCAGAGATGACTTCTTTAGGGATTTTATTGGCAATTATCTTTTTTAAGACTGAGATGTTGATAAAAGTGATGTTTTAATCAAAAGCATGTCAATACATGGCTGTAAGTGTTCTTATTTTTTGAAATAGCCGATCCATTATGATTTTGTGCGTGGTTGTTAGAAAAAAAGGGGTAGCATAACTGAAATTAAAACCTTGAACTATCACTGACCATATAACACTATATTATATCGAAGTATGTAATTTTTAGCACATAGAGGTTTTCTTATTATTACTTTTTTTTTTTAATAGGCCAAAGCCATGAACTTGTATGAGGCCTGCCTAACTCTACTTCAGGTATATTCCAAGAATAATCTAGGTCGACAACGGATAGATGTTACAGCAGAAGAAGACCAGTACCAGGATCTCCTTCTTATCATGGAGCTTCTAACTAATCTTCTGTCAAAAGAATTCATAGATTTCAGTGATACAGGTATGAAGCAGATGGGCACTGATGAACCTTAACTTGTATACTTAAACAGTAAAAAATGTTAGGGATCATGTGTTCAATCCAGGCAAAGTCAAAATAGAAAATGAGATCAGCATATTAAAATTACTATTTAATGTGCTAGTAGCAAAGGAAACACTTCACAGTATGGCCCATTTGTAGCAGCAGTTGAGTATTAAAAAAAAAGGCATAGAGAAGTCAGAACTAGAAATGACTGCAAGAGGAGGGATGGATTATCTTAGTACAAGATCCAAATTTCGTGGAATGCTGAACTATTACAATTCTGGGTGGGGGGGAGGGGAAGGGGAGGGTTGGTTGGTTGGTTGTTTTTTGTTTTCTTTTTTGTTCCTCATATACAGAACATACTTTATGTGGTTGTGGTTTGAATTTGAGGTCCTTTTTTTTTGCATTCTGGCCTGTTGCTTTCTTTCATATTGTTGCCACCCAAAATTGCATTAGCCCTGAATACGAGCTGCCAGCTGTAACCTGGCCATACTGCATTGCTTTTGAATAAATGAAAACAGGTTGGCATGATGGAGATCTTTCCATGTCCTGTGCAGCTGCACAGAAAACGTGAGACCAATAACAAACTCAGTCTGCCTGGATTGTTTTGATATTCTTCACTGCTGCTCTGAGGTACTTCTTGGAAGAGAGAGAACCTTGGACTCAAATCCAACAAGTTTTCTGTTGCACATGCACCGCAATACAGAACCAGACTGAGACTTTGTCCACTGGATGGACCATTCAACACCGTGTAACTTAGCCCTTTTGAGTCCAAGCATTGCGTGTTAGCTGCATAGAAAACACCATGAAACAGGAATGTGAATACTGCCTAAACATAATACCCACATATCAACTATATTGAGGCTTGTCTGGATACTGTTGCAGAATTAATACAGGTTTTATAAAAGTAAAGTAACTGCCAGTTGATGCCAAACTGCCAGTCTTGTCAAGTTTTAACATACAGTATTTTCCTCAATAGCTTGTTTTTTTTTCCCCTCATGTATTAAACTGTGGTGCAGCTGTTGCACACATTTGGTGTAAAAATGCAATAATAATTTGTTCACTATCTGCTTATGCACATGCTTATGAAGCATCATTAGAAACAAATACAGATTTCTGTAGTAGAAGGTAACTCTTGAAAGTGCCTGAAGTACTTACATGATTATGAAATGAATATAAGTATAGAGTGATGTGGCAGTTTCTCCTCAATAAGTTTCTATTTTAATACAGTGCCTCATGGTTTTGGTCAATTGGAAAGAGGGGAGTAGTTCTATTTTTAAAAAATGTCTCCATTAAAGAAAATGTGACCCTTCCTTCAATATGTTTGCTACTTTTATATATATATATATATATAAACATTTCATCTATTCTACAGATGAAGTATTTAGAGGACATGAGCCTGGGCAAGCCACAAATAGATCTGTATCAGCAGCAGATGTTGTCTTATATGGTGTTAATCTAGTCCTGCCTCTAATGTCCCAAGATCTGTTGAAGGTAAGTATAGTTATAATATGTAGTTGCTAGAATAAAAAAAGTGTTATAGAAATAACTTCCTAAAAATAGGTTCTATATTGCATTCCACTTCTACAAATTGAATGTTTTTTCTATCATTTCTTTTAAAGGCAAATAATTTTTCCCAAGTTCTAGATATTGCTTGAAAAAGAAGAATATATATGTGAAAATGTATACCAAATGTGTACAAGAAGGGCCTAAACAAGACAAAACTTTGTTCCTCTATAAGTGAATATGGTAGCATATGGGTAACAATTAGCCAAAACTGAAATGTGGGTTCTGGAATCCCTTTTCCGATAGGGAGCATTAACAGTGATCATTAGTCAAAAAAATTTGGGAGCTGTTGACTTACTGTTTTATTTTTGATAAGTTGGCCAAAAAACTGCTCATGTTGTGTGAGTTACTGTTTCTGTTTTGTAGCTGCTGAGTGTTGCATAGCAGTGCCTTTTTGGTAGGAACACAGTAACTCTTGGATTATTTTTTGCATTTTTGTAGGCTTTCATATCGTTATCATGTGCAGTTGGTTAGTAGAACAGTAACAAATGAAACAACAGCGTGACCATGACAGTATTTCATGCGTCTGGACACCCCTTTTGGGTGCATCTTAGTTGTCCCCTCCTAACCACTGCAAAGCTAAAACCAAGCAAAAGAGATGATCTAGGAGCACCCCTTATGTGCTGCAGAAGCTAATGAGGCTTTGCTGCACAGCACAAGACTTGGTCATCCCTGAAGTAAAGCTCTACAAATGTGTACAGAGGCATTACCAGCTTTTTGGCTTTGCAAATCTGCATCTATTACACCACATTATTTGCTAATGTAGTTATAGCCACTGATGACTCTGAAGTTGTCTACCATAAGTCTTGTCTTTTTCAGGAGAAAGCAGCAGACCTGTCTCTTTTTGCAGCTGGAAATAATGTCTGGATAAAGCTATTTAATCTAAAATGATAATGTTTTTCTTTTGACAGTTTCCATCCCTGTGTAATCAATATTACAAATTAATCACTTTCATCTGTGAGATATTCCCTGAGAAAATTCCACAGCTTCCAGAGGACCTCTTTAAGAGCCTAATGTACTCACTGGAGTTAGGGATGTCATCGTATCCTTTGTAGAGCTTGGGACTGCTTAAATGTTTGATTTGTTATCTTACAAAACACATTATAATTCTGATTTCTTCTTTTATGTTTTTTCATTTTCTGTATAGTGTGTGTGTGTGTGTAAATAACTATGTGTCTGTCATCAGCTTTTAATCTCTGTTTTCCATTGATGATTGAAAGTTTCACTGTAACATCTTCTCCAATTCTCGTATTAGCTGAGTTTCTTCTGACTCGTGTTGCTCAAATGCAGCATTTAAGTGGTTGAGCACATAAGTTTTTTCTGGCAGCCATTCCTGCCTCCTCCATTACTTCACTTCAGAGTGTGTAACTTCATAAGCCTCCAGCTGGTATCCCAGAGCCATTCCTGAATTAGTTTCTCAGCTGGCAATGCAAAACACTGCTGCTGTCCATTGGGCTGGCTCCAGAGCATTTCCTGTCAGGTTGCCAATGGGTTCTCCCTCTTATAACGGGAGCACCATTTTCACTAATCTGCGGCACGTGTCAGAAACAGATGAGCTTGACCATAAGGGCTTCTTTCTGAAAATGTTATGTCAGAGAGGCTTATGTTACCTTAGAGTGTGTAGCTAATAAAAGAAGGCAACAAAGTTGCAATAGTCTGCTTTATTATTGTTATATATTATTAACAGTGCTGTAGTAAAAAGAAATCTTGGAGCATATAAGAATTTAAGACATTTTTGAGTGACGGCTCGAGGATGTTTTACTCCAAGTCCAAGACTGAAATCTGACTTTGATTCCTTAACACGTGTTATCAGAATGAGCTCTGAGGTTTGCCAGCTCTGCCTGGAGGCTGTAACACCATTAGCAGAGCAGTGTGCAAAAGCACAAGAAACAGATTCAACCCTCTTTCTAGCAACAAGGCACTTTCTTAAGGTAAGTTATCTATCTCATGTTACTTTGGGGTATTTTTTGCTTATAGGTAATGTTAAGAAGCGGAGCAGTGATCATGTTTTACAAGATTAATTGCTGCCATGCAGAAATACCAAGAAAGAGACCCTCACTTAAAGAACTGGCAGGAGAATTTGTAAGGAGGAGGAGGACATGGACTACAGTACAAAGGAGAATAGAAGCACAGAGGGAGGAAATAATTTGTCTCTAATCAACAAAAGATTCTACTTCTTGGAGTGCAGTGTGTTTTTCTGTGTTCTGTGCCTGAGTTCTAGAGTGAAGGTGATAAGCAGTTAAACTTGCTGTAAAAGCTGTGAAATAGAAATTGTGTGAACTGAAGTCTAGGCAAGAGAAAACATAGTTGGAAAGAAAAAAAAAGAAAATGCTCTTATTTATTCAATTTATCTGATAAATTATGCCCTTAATCTAGTGTCATATTTGGGACTTTCCTTTTAGGACCATGCATTGATCCTAAAAGGACCATACATTGAATTTTGGAGTGAACAGCCAGGTTCATGCTAATCAGGATTAAGCTAGTTGGAGAACTTCTGTGCTTTTCTCCTGATTCAGTAAAGATTTCAGTTTCACTTAAGGCCAAATTTTCTGAAAACTTCCATTTTCTTGCCAAACTGACATCCAGACTATTGGGGGGAATTGCTCATTAAGAGCTTGAATCAGCTAAACTGAGTGAATGAGAAACACCTTCAAATAGTTTTACTCATTTTTGTGTTACTTCTAAGTTCACCTAGCTTTCTGCCTTTTCTCTAAATTTTAATAATCGGCCATATTAATCTGCTCCCATTTTGGCTTTCTGTGAGCTGTGGGAATCTCCATAACTTGAAGAACAAGCTTTCTTTTTATTCTAGAAGATATTTTTTTCCGAGTTAGCAGCGGTTTTTGGGGAAAGATGCAAGAGATGCTATTTCCTTCTGAAAACACGTCAACACTGTAGCTTTCAGTGCTTTGAGGTGTGAATTTGTGACTTTAAGCCAAAACTCAGCTTCTAAAAGAACCTGTTTTCCAATTACTGCTACCTAAAATTAAAAAAAAAATAAAATAATGTTTGTAAATGCAAGTTCTTCATTATTATCAGAAGTAAAGTTCGACAGCTGTTGTTAGTAAAGCAAAAGAGTTAAGTCTACATCTCAGAATACTTCTATAACTGCTCCTGTTTTATGATTTCAGATGGTCTTTGATATGCTGGTACTTCAGAAGCACAATACAGAAATGACAACTGCAGCAGGTGAAGCGTTCTACACATTAGTGTGTTTGCATCAGGTATGGCATTTAGGCACTTGGAAACCACTTGTTTGTGAGTGGACAAATGTGCATCTGACTGAAATCACAGAATCACTGCGATTGGAAGGGATCTCAGGAGATCTGTAGCCAACCTCTTGCTCAAAGTAGGGTCAACACTGAATATAGATTGTGTTGCTTTTTTCCAACCTGATTTTGAAAGCCTGCAAGATGGATATTCCAGAGCCTTTCTGAGCTGTTGAATGCTTAATTATCCTTGTAAGTTATGTGCTTCCTGCCCCTAACCATTTTGGTGGCTGGACTTGAAGTTCATCAAAATCTTTCATGTGTTAGGAAGCCCAAAACTGGATAGAGTATGGCATATGTAATCTAAGAAGTGCCATGTAAATAGAAATAATCCCTTTCTTTGACTTACTGGTTGTTCGTTTGGTCACTTCCCAGTCTATATTGTTGTAGGGCACTAGTCTCTTCCCGTTGCAGAACTTTGCATTTGTTCTTTTCAAATTTCATGAAGTTCTTGTCAGCCCATTCCTCCAGACCGTCTAGGTCTCTGAATGCATCAGCCCTGTTCATAAATGCATCAGCTGTTTCCCCTCACACACACTCCACAATGGGCCTTCATCCACAGATGAAGGTAGTGCATTTCCTGTCATCCTTCAGGTCACTGATGAAGTAATGAACAGGACAGGTCCCAGGATAGACCCCTGAGCTCCTCTTGGAACCAGGTTCTAGGTAGAAAATGAGTCATTGACCACAACTGTTTGTTCCTGATGATTCAGTCAGTTTTTCACTCACGTAATAGACCCCTCACCTAAACTGTACCATCCCAGCTTGGTTACAAAGAGGCCACGGGTGACTGCTAAAAACCTTACAGAAACCAGGGAGGGCGACCCCCACTGCTCTCCTCCTTAACGTACCTACTAGTGGCTTATAGGAAGTCTTTCTTCTTGCCCCATCAGGGACTAGTGATACTTACCAGCCCACAGTTTCACGAGTTGTCCAGTCCTCTTGGAGAACGGTACAACATTTGCTTTTGTCCAGAGCTGGGGACTTCCTCCAGTCTCCACAGTCTTTCAGAGGTGTTGGGAAGCAGCCTTGCATTGACATCAGCCAGCTTCTTCTGTGCTTTTGCATAAATTCTATGGAGTCGCAGGGACTTGTATGGGTTGAACTTTCTCAAGAGGAATTCTTAGTTCCTAAGTCGATCTTCCTTCCTTCTCATAGTTCCTCTCCTCCTTGATCTCCCTTTAGTCACAAGAGGAAAGACTTGTCGGTGAAGACCAAGGCAAAGAAGCATTGAGTGTCTCAACCTTATTTGTGTGTTGTCCCCTGCCCTATACAGCAACACTTGCCCTTTTTTATTCTTTTACTGTTAATGGACTGATAGAATCTCTGCTTCATGTCCCTTGCCAGTTTCAAGTTTAGTTGAACTTTGTTTTTTGATGGCCCTCTCTGTGTGCCTGGGCCGTGTTCGTGTTCCTCCTGGGTACCCTGCCCTACTTCCACCTCCTGCGTGCGCCCTGCTTGCACTGGGGGCCTCCTGTGGATGCCCTGGTCAGCCAGGCCCTTGTCCAGCACATAGAGTAGCTCCAGTCATTTGAGCTGCCCTTTCCAAGGAAGGAAGAAGTGCAGGTTATAGAAACAAGCCTGTGCTAGGGGACAGCTGGCAAGCACCCTGAAGGGAGTGCCAAAAGCCTTCTCCTCCCTCTGCATTCCAAAGCAGTGCCCAGCTCTGCAGCTTCTCATGGTTTCCAGAGAAACTCGCCTGGCTGCAAGGCTTTTTCTGCTTTGGAAGAGGGGAAAGGCACTTGTGGGTGAGACTGGACTGCAGGGAGAGCAGGACTGGTGGCTCTTTGTCACAGCCCTGACTCTGGATTTTGTCCTGGCAAGAGAAGTTGTATGCAATTTTTTGTTTGAAGTTAATAAGACTGTTGTTTATTCAACAGGCTGAATATTCAGAGCTAGTTGAAACTTTGCTATCAACTCAACAAGATCCAGTAATTTACCAGCGATTAGCAGATGCCTTCAACAAGCTTACTGCAAGCAGCACTCCTCCCACACTGGACCGTAAGCAGAAGATGGCCTTCTTAAAGAGTTTAGAAGAATTTATGGCAAATGTTGGTGGACTTCTCTGTGTAAAATAAACAACAAAACTCTATGCCTACTTTAGACCCTTTCTGCAAAATGCACTGAGAAATGCTGAATGCTGACTAAATCTTGTACCTGTCTCTGGGTTCTTTGCAGCCATCTCAGATTTTAGAGAGCCTGGAAGTTTGAACATAACACAGTGGAATAGGAGAGGTCAACTTTGAATCAGCTTCTGCTATTATGTGTTAGCTGCAATCTGTCATACTTGTGTGTGAAAAGAATGGACAGAAAATCTGACTTTAAATTCTTTCCATATACGTGCAAACAGATATGGGCACAATGAAAAATAAATTTGGTGCCTTTTCCCCTTCACTGGTTTAAAATGAGTAGCTGGATAAACATACAGGTTTTTTTTCCTACCCAAAACCATGTTAGAGTGCGATGCAGACACATACAGAGCTCTGAATAGTTTAGCTGATTTTAAGCTTTATTTTTTCCTCTCTGGAGTTTGAGTTTGTGTTCCAATGGAAAAAGAAAACACCAAATGGTATTTTACTTGTGTTTAGTTTTGTTTTTCTACGTCAACCTGAAGTTGCATGTTCAACATAATGCAGGTTTTTACATTATGTTCTGCTGCCTAAAGTTCAGAAGAAAAAAGGTGTATATTTTTGTTCTCCTGAAATGAACTTTAGGAACGGTAGCCATTTCCTTGCCTTAATTTAAAAGAAAAAAAAAATGTTCATGTACTCTAGATGAGAAATCTAAGGCAAGATTTGAGTCTTCAGAGTTCGGTTAGGATGTTGGCATTAAGCTGCTGTGTACATGTTGCAGCCCTTCATGTTGCCATGTGTCATTTTGGAATGAGTGTCTAGTGCAAGGTTCAGGTGTAGTTTTACTTTCAGTATCTGTTTAGATTTCTTCAGGTTGCACACGACTGCAATGTATTTCTACACTGAACTGTTTGCTAAAGCAATAACAACTCAAGAGGTGTAAATTATTGACTTACACAAACTTTTTAAGTTAGGGCATTAGGTAAAATAATTATGCTAGAACAGGGGCTTGAAACCCTTTCTCCCAAAGGTCATACTTAGCTGATTTGAGTCGAGAAAGATCAAGATCTGCACTGTTGAGAGGGATTTTTTTTTCTTTTCCTGAAACTAGCTCCGCTTCTGTAGAGCCCTCCCTGCTGCTCTGCTCTTGCTCAGTTTTTCATAACAGCACTTTAGCTATGACCGTAGCAGAGCGGCGGTGCCCTGAGTGCAGTGGACCAACGAGGGAGAGTGGCTGGGCAGGCTTTGCCTCTGCTTTGGAGCCAGAGAAAACTGAAGCAAACGTAAAGGCTGCACGTCTAGTGACAGTCCTTGTTTGTGGAATCACATGGAGGCAGGAGAAGGTGTGTCTTTTGCTAAGACCTCTGCTAGATGATGCTGTTGAATGTTTCCTGTGTTTTTGGTTTTATTTGTTCGTTTTTGACCTTTCTATAAATGTACACTATATACACCTTTCCATGGCTGTGTATAGCATCATGTTTGCATCTGTGCCATCCTTCAGCTGTTCATCTCAAGGTTAGCCACAATAGTCAGAATTGAAAAGACGTAAATCTGTACTATTGTGCTGTAAGCAACCTAGGCCTTTCTACATTTCTTTTCTAGTGAAATCCATACCTGTCTCAAGCATGGATCTGCAAGGCCAAAAATGCCATCTTGTCAGGATACTTTTCTCTTTTAATTTACGTGAGAACTGCGTGTTTATGAGAACTGGGTGAGGGCAGATTTATCCAATAAAAAGCAACCATAAAATGTGTTAGATGATATACCTTCCCACCTATGTTCTATTCCTAAGACAATTTACCTAGTGTTTTAGAACGGGGATATGGCCCTCATTTTTTTCCTGGAAAAAGAAACTAATCCTTCTCTTCAAAAGTTTTCTGTGCATTTGCACTAATAATAATGGTCCTAGTGGATCCTCCTGTTTCTAAACTGTTTCAACATCAGATTTTTTTTTCCTGCTTGGGTTTTTGGCTTGTTGTTAGAGCTGCTTCTAGAAGTTGAATTTGTGCATTCTGTAGTGCAGCAATTCTGAAACTTGATTTTCAATTTTTCTCTCCCAGATGCGGGGCATTAAAGCCTAGGAACAGAAGCAGCAGCAGGACCTGTTAGTTTGTTGTGAGGTTCAAAAGTGTCAAATTTGGCCATAGTCTCCAAAAAGATAATGGCAAATACTTTCAACCTTGTTGTGTGACTGAAAAACTGGTGTTCCCAGACATCGTTTCCTAAAGTTTGCTCAATATTTAAAAATATTTATGAACTTAAAATTAGGAAATCCTCTTGAATATTGTAACTGATGATTGGGAGTATGAACTTAGTTAATGCTCAGAATAAAGTAATGTGCCACCGCGCGCTCTAATCAGGCCCAGAGTATTGTCAGAAGCACTGACACACAATGTTTGTATCAAGACCTGCTAAATTAATTATGAACTATTGCTTTCAAAGAGTAGTTTTGATGATAGCTTATAACTTTGTTTTGCCCTTTATTTAAAATTGATGTTATATATTAAAGGGAAGCTGCCCAAGTAAGGGTCTTTTAAAAATAATTTTATTGCGTAATGTTATTCTAGACAACATTCTTCCTATCTTGTTATTTTTTCCTTTTTTTCCTTCCATTCTTGTGTGTTCAACTTTGCTCTTTCCATACTTTTTTATCTTTCTTCTAGAGCAAATGAAAAGATGTTTCTGTTTAGTGACATCTATGAAGTTGCTACAGAAGGTTGTGGGAATAAGTTTCCTTATTTCATACTTCAGCAGGGTAGGTGACTGCTCATATAGGTAAACTGTGTGGCTTGGATATCCTCCCTCACCCTCCATCCTTTGGTGACCTTCTGCACATCCAGCTGCTGTAGATCTAGATGCGAAGCTCATCCAAGTCCATAAGAAAGATCCATAGACCATTTTCAGTGGATTTAGAAACTGTTTTGAAATTTTGTAGCATCACTGCATTGATTTTCCATTCACTGTGCAAAGTGAATAATGGTTTTAAAAATGCATGTGTTTTTTTTTCCAAAAAACACATGCCATTCAGAAATATAAATGCTGCACAATACAGCTGTAATAAATATATTTGTCTAGACGCAAAACTTCCTTGCTAAAATAGATTATTGCCCCGATGTTTTCATTCAAGAAATCAAGTAGTTTATTTCCCCTTCCTCCAGCCCTTACCCTCTGGCAATAGCTATTTCACATGCTAGCCTGGTAATTTTCTGTGGCTCAACCTATTTATTCTGATGCTGGCAAACCTGACTGTCTAGCTGGATCATGAATTCCAGGCCTGCGTAGTGCAGGGCCACGTGCCCAGGCTGTATCAGACTTCCACTTTGACTCGCGTTATGCCTTAATCATCTTCACTGCCTGCCATCAGGATCTGCTACTTCTTCTTGCCCAAAACTTGGTGTTTCACTGGCTAGTGATAAAGGGCTCGCTGTTTTCCTCAGGAATGAGAAACTCATTTTCTTGGCATGCCCAAATCCTACTAGTTGAAAGAGAGGGATTTGAATCTGGGTCATCTCCTTGATAGTGCACAGCACTTACTAAAGCCCTTGGATAAAGTCCCGTTTTATTTAAGCCATGTAGTTGTAGAAAATGAGCTTGCACAGAAAAATCAATTGTCCATTTATAATCTAATGCTGGGAAAGGTAATGCAAATTCTGCTTTCAGTGATCTGTGAAACCATTGAGAAAAACAAATGTCATGTTTCTATTATAGAACACCTTCACTTCCGTTTCAGGTAAATAATTACATAAAGGGTGTTTTTTATGGACGTAGCTTATGAATATAAGTGCAGGAGTAGGAGCCAGTCTCCTCTAATTTTGTATCACATTTTCCACTGGGTCCACCGTGGCCATTGGCAAGTCGCTGAACCTGTCTTTGTTACAAAAATAAAAAATAAAAAAATAAAATATATAGCGACAATACCTACCTACCTCACAGGGCTGTTGTGAGGATTAGTTTATGCCTATAAATGCATTTGAGGATCTGAAATGCTCTGTAAATATTAAATATTTTAATTTTAGTTCTTGTAAGGTGTAAGATTTACTGCAATGCAGACAGAAGGTTTTCAGAGGTGTCAGGTGCAGCGGGAGCGCAGTCCTCCCCGGGGCTCGCGCACAGCGGGACAGCAGTACTCGCTGTCACGCGTAGGGGGTTCAATTACAGCCGGGTAAAAAGGTGTTTTGTGGCCTGTGCTCCGCTTCCTCCCTGCGGGGCCTCCACTGCGGTGGCGGCGCCGCTGCTGACACCGGGCCCCGCTCGCTGCTCCCGCCTGCCCCACGCGCACCAGGCCGGCTCTGTAGAGCCGGGGCCTGCGGACACGGCTCAAGTGTAGAGAACTGGGGTTTCCCTCCTCGGCCTACCCTTACCTTAATTACCTTAATTTAGTAGAAGGTGAAGCCCCTCTTTGCTTTGTACCAGATTAGCACTTCACAGCGCCAACCATGAGGCGAGTCGTGAAGCACGATTTGCTCCGGAGCCGTGAGCTCTCTGCTCTCAAGCAAACTCTTTTCTTCACTGTTAGGCAGTGGTGCCCTAGCCGTGGAGAACCAGGATACACCTGGTCTTCTCCTGGAAAACGACGTCTGCTTTGCTGTTTCTCCCTTTCACGGGCCATGCCATCTTCACCCTTCTGGCAAGAGATTGGGAAGACCCTTCCAAGCGCACCCAGAAGGTACTACCCGTTGAGGTCCCTGCCGCGTCCGTGGCAGGTTGGTGTTTGAAATCAAATACCTTCCACTAGCCTTCTTCCATGCATCCAATGTCCCATTGAATTAGACTAGGTTTTATAATTAGGAGAAATAAAATCCACTTTTATTTGTTCCCTTTGTGCAGACCAAGGAATCTCCTTGCAGTGAGCTTGCAGTTTTAAGGCAATAAATGCTGGTATTGCTGCCAAGTATGTAAATATTTTAAATGTATAATTCAGTACTATTTTGAGGTTATAAACAATAAGCATAAAAAGGCAGGGATTAAAGTGCTACTTTATTTCAAGTATTGTTTTACTTGTGCAGTTGAAATATGAAGTTGCATAGAAATATTTCACAATTTGTTGGGAAATGGCTGTATAATTGAGCCTTATCACAACTGAATTTTCAAATTTGCAATCAATATTTTCTGTATTTCTAAAATCGATAAGCAGGAGGCGGATAAAATTGTTTTCACTAAAGACTTATTTTTTTGTTTTGGCCATGTGTGATGTGTGCGTATTCTTGTTTAGTATTATTTCTCTAAATTCTCACCTGTTGAATCCCTGAAATAGCATTTGTTATGGCTTCCACCTTAAAGCAGAGACAAAAATATGGGCATTATGAAACCTCAAGCTAAACATTGTGCTCTTTTTCTACCATAAACCAGCAGTAATTCAGCTGAAATTAATTGGGTAACTTGAGATTTACATCAGCACTTAGAGTATGAGCTTTTCCATCAATAGCAAAAAAAAAAAAAAAAGTGAATAGGTGTGCGGCAGGAGTATCTCACACTGGG